ACTTTTTAGAGATGGGGTCTTGCTCTTGCTCAGGCTGCCTTTGGAATCATCTTATTTAAGCTGCTCATTTAAAGCTGAGGGAACTGGGCAGCGCCTGTGGCTCAGTGAGTAGGGCACTGGCCCCATATACCAAGGGTGGTGGGTTTGAACCCAGCCCTGGCCAAACTGCAAAAAAAAAGCCGGGTGTTGAGGCGATTGCCTGTAGTCCCTGCTACTCGGGAGGCTGAGGCAAGAGAATCACCTAAGCCCAAGGGCTGGAGGTTGCTATGAGCTAAAATGCCACAGTACTCTACTGAGGGCAAGAAAGTAAGACTCTATCTCTTAATGATGATAATAATAATAATAAAGATGAGGAAACTGAGCCTCAGAATAGTAAGGGGGCTTGCCCAAAGTGGGAATAGTGGCTAGATCCTGCCTTTCACCCAGCAGAATCCCAACCCTACTTCTGTGAGATGAGAATTCAGGAGGAGCTGTGCACAGTGGCTCATGCCTGTAATCCTAGCATTCTGGGAGGCAGAGGTGGGAGGATCCCTTGAGCTCAGGAGTTTGAGACCAGGCCGAGCAAGAGCAAAACCCCATCTCTACTAAAAATAGAAAAATTAGCCCGGTGTTGGGGTGTGCACTTGTAGTGCCGGCTATTAGGGAGGCTGAGGTTAGGAGGATCACTTGAACCCAGGAATCTGAGGTTGCTGTGAGCTAGCCTGACACCAGGGTACTCTGGCCTGGGTGAGTGACTCAAAGAAAAAGTAAGAAGGGGCTGGGTGCTTGTAGCACAGTGGTTATGGTGCCAGGCACATACACCAGGGGAGCCAGGTTCGAACCCAGCCCTGGCCAGCCAAACAACAAAGACAACTGCAACAAAAAATAGCCAGGCATTGTGGCAGGCGCCTATAGTCCCAGCTATCTCGGAGGCTGAGGCAGGAGAATCGCTTAAGCCCAAGAGTTTGAGGTTGCTGTGAGTTGTGACGGCGTAGCACTCCACCAAGGGCGTCATAGTGAGACTCTGACTCAAAAAAAAAAAAAAAAAAAAAAAAAAAAAAAAAAAAAAAAAAAGAAAAAAAGAAAAAGAAAGAAGGGAATTGGAATAGCTCATCTTCAGGTCAGATCTGCAGAGAAGTGAAAGATCCAGTGAGAAGAGCAAAGGTCCCAGGACCTCATCTGGGGAAAGCAGTTAGGCCCGGGAGCTGATTCAGGGCAGACATGTAAGGCTGTGCTGAGTGAATAGAAGAGAGTGAGCCAAGGATGCTATGGAAGTTAGAGGGGAGGCAGGAGAAGCAGGCCAATGTGTGGTGCTAGGCCCAAGGAAGCCAGGTTCCAAGAAGGTAGGAAAGGAGAAAAGGAACTTGATTTTGAGATCAGCAGGCTGTCTGATGGCCCTGGAATAGACAATCCTACTAGAATGCTCAGGCAGAGCCCTGCAGAAGTTTGGAAGGTGGAGACACACAGGCAGCAGGTAGAGACCATAGGAAGTGGCCAGAGGACAGAAGGAAGAGCCTTTTCCAACTGCTTAATCAATTCAAGTATTTTTCAGGATGGAGGAACACTAAGCTTTTGGGCAGAGAGGAGAGGTGGTGAGTCTGAGAAGGAAACTCACAAGTTGGCTGGCTGGGCCAGAGAGCACAGGGGCAGTGTGACTTGCAGAGGAAAACAAAGAGTAAGATAATGTTGAAGGGGAACCAACAGGGAGATGAAGCAGTGTTTACTGAGTCTGGATCAAGGTTGGAAGGGGGTTTGAATAGTCCTCATGTCAAGGAGCCACCGAGACGTCTAGTTCAGTGGTTCTCAACCTTCCTAATGCTGCAGCCCTTTAATACAGTTCCGGTGGGTCACAACCCACAGGTTGAGAACCACTGGTCTAGTTCATGTCAAGGGCCACCTGTCTGTCCTGGGTCAGCACTCTGATGTTCTGGGTTCCCCTCTAACTGGAATCCACAGCCTGGAAGCTACAACAGAGAAATGGCTGAGGAGTGTTGTAGCCTTAGAGTTGAGCCTGGCAGAACAAGGTCACAATTGCTGAGATGGGAGGAGGCAGCCATGGCAACTGACGTAAGGTGGAAGGAATGGGTCCTGGGAAAAAGGTGACAAGGGCATCAGAACCTGATCCCATAGGCTTTGTGTGAGCAGCAGGTGAAAGTATTAGAGAAGTCCAAGGTAGGGTTGAAGGGAAACTTTTCCTCACCCAGAGAGGTGGTATCACAGGGAAGGCAATGGGAACAAGGCATCTCCACATGTCACAGAAGGAAATGTACCCAGGAGGGCCCAGAGGAAGGTGAGGGCCCCTAGCATGAATGCCTGCTGGGCAGAATTTTCTTGGGTGTGGTGACCCTCTGCAGTTGACCACTCAACAGGCAGCAGAGCTGAATGAGTGACCAGACAAGACTGGGAAGGGGAAGCTAGGCAGGGACAGATGTCAGCCCCTTCTGCTCAGGTAAGGCCAGCAGGAGGGTAGTGGCATTCACATATCCCTTCCTCCTATGCAGTTATTCTGTCCTTAACCGCTGGGCCCTTGTGCCTGCTTTGGGTCACTGGAGGGCAGCTCAAGGGTCAACACACTGTACCCCAGCCTCACCTCTGGTATTTGTTATTAACACATTTATTTACATTTCTCAAACAAGATTAATTGTGAAACCTAACAGAAATGGGATAAACAGGCCAAACATGACTGACTTCTTAGGAGGGATATACACACAGTCACTCTATTTTCAAACTAACCACTTGGGTCCTCACCCACAACTAGGACTCCCTTTCTTCCTCTGAAAGGAGACACAGGCCAGCACCAGGCTTCCAGTAGCTTCAACATTTAAAGAGACAAACACAGAGAGGCAGAGAAGGGTGAGAAGAACCACAGTACAAATTGTAATAAAAAAAAAAGTGGCCAAAGAATCGATAGCAAACCCATTTCTGTCTTTAGATTAATGGCTTGGCTGCAAGAAATGGGGGGAGGTCCTTGGGGAAGAAAAGAAGGAGGGAGGGAGGGGAGAGGGTGATGTGGAAGTTGGCAGGTGAGATACTGGCCCTGGAATAGCAAACTCCAGTGGGCAGCTCAAGCTGAGGAAGCAGAGAAGAGCCAAGAGGGGTCCCTAGAGGGGTCTCTGGCCACATCCTGGGCTCAGGTGGAAGGTCAGTGCTGGGCCCCGACTAAGTGCATGGGGGAGGGAGCTCTATAAGTGCTGCAGCCCAAGCCCCTCCTCTGCTTCATATGTTCCTGAGGATCTGCACGCAGGAGCGTGGGGGGCTGGGGGAAGGGATACAAATACAGGCATTTGGGAAAGCAGGAGAGACCACATGCTTGTGGGGAAGGAGGCTGGGGGTGGGGAGTACCAGCAACTAGCCCTCCGCTCTACAGAGGCAAGTGCATGCCAGAGGCCAGGAAGCTGGGCCAGGACTCCTGGTGCTCTAGCTGCTTGAGACAGAGGCAAACCTCTGCCTTCTGGTGTGGGCAGTTGGACAGGCCCTTTGTAGACTGCTGCCTGGGTAGGAATATGGCTGGAGGTAGCGGGAGGAGAGGGGAGCCCCCAGACCAGCCTCTCCTGGCCCTGCCCACAGACCTGTTGGCAGGAGGACTGGCTCCAAGTACTCCACAGAGCTTAGCATGACAGCTACTCACTTGGACCTCACAGGCCTAACCCAGGCTTCCTTCTGGTTTCTTTGGGGGAAGTCCTAAGGCTCTGCTCTTCCTCGTGTCTTGGTCCGCCCTGGCCAGGTGTGCACACTGAGCACACTTGTTTTTCTGGCCCTTCAGTCTGAAGCTGTCCAGCCCCATGAAGAGCTGAGTACTTTGATGACTCATAGGAACAGCTCTCTGCCTGTACAGAGCTGGGACTGGGGCTGAGAGACAGGGAGGGAGGGCACTTGGAGAGGCTGGGAGACCCAGACCCACTGGGAGCGCTGGCTCCCCTACTGGCTGGCAGTGGGCAGAAGAGAAACAGATGTGCCCACTGGAAGTTGTGCACTAGCAGCTGAGTACAGGTGGGCTGATGGCTGGCCTGGGGCTATGGAGCAGCTGGGGAGCCAGCCAAGCTGCTAAGATATAGGGCCAGGAGCTGTACAATCAGAATCCTTAGACCCTGGGCACCAGCCTCCCCTAGGCCAGGGGGACTGTGTGGCCCAGAACTCTGCTGGTCTGTCTGTGGGCTGCCAGGAGAAAGAGTGTGGGAGGGAGAGGCCAGTCTGTAGGTGGCACAAAGGTAGGAGGGAGGCAGGACGCCTGGACTCATGGCTTGGAAGGGAAAGAGACAGAAGCTGCCCATCAATGGTTGTCCTGGTGATACAGGGACTGGGGGCTCTTGGGACAAAAAATGAGGCCTGTGGCCAGGAGGCCCCTGGTCTCTTCTCAGCATTGCCACTGGGGAACTCAACCTTTCGCTTATGGCCAACAAGTGCCACGTCTGGGCCAGAAGAGAAGTCTGTAAAACTGGAGCTGGTTGAGAGGCTCTGACAAACAGGGCTCCCATGCTCTGATGTCCTTGGGGGGTCTACGAACACAGTAACTGACCCCCCCAGCTCCTGGAAGCTTGCTGCTTGTCTGGGCACCTTGCCAGTAGCTGCAGGTTCAGCTGGTGTCTTCATGCTGCCCACTGTCCCATCCTGCTCTGGGGTGCGTGGAACCTGCCAGTTATCTTCTTTCTTCATCCTGGGAGATGCTGCCTTGGGATGGAAGGGCTGGCTGGGGGGCACAGTCTCAGGACAGAGAGAGTCATAATCAAAAACTGGGGAACCTGACCACCTGTTGGGAAAGAAAGACCCAGTGGGCTGCAGGGCTCAACTACAGAGCAGGCAGCAAGCTAGGCCCCTCCTGGGCTGGAACTGAGGGCAGGGAGAGAGCTGCCCATTCTGGAGCCCTGTGAAAGGTCTCCTCATGGGTCTGACCCTATGGGAGCAGCCTGACTTGTGGTCAGAACTGGCCAAGGGAACAGGTTAGAGGCTGTTCCATTTAAAGACTTCACAGAGAAGGATGTGCCCTTTGGCAACAAGAGAAAGCAGCACAAAGCCTGGCACTCCAAGCTGAGCCCAGAGGTGGGGATGTGGGGTGAGACATGAAGCTGCAGCCCTAGGTAACTGCCCCTGGTGGGCACCAGGGCAAGTTGGGCTCAGAGGGCCCTTGAATTCCTACCAAACTGTAAAAAATCCTTCCTTCTGGGGCTGACTTGTAGAGAGGGAGAAAGACCCTGATGTTCACTCATCTGGGAGGGACCCAGGAAGGACTCTTAGCTGGTCAGAACCGCTAGCACCTACTACATCAATATTTGAATGGTGGAGGGAGTCACGCTCTAGCTGGGTCCAGTCCTGATCAGCTGAAGCCACAAATGGAGGTTTTTTGTTTTTGTTCTTTTTTTTTTTTTTGGCTACTCCCAAGACAAATAGGACAGAGGATGGTGGGGGGAAAAGGTGAGAGAAGAGGAAATAGTTACAGCCTGGTCCCAACAGGTGCCAACCTGAGGGTTCCTTCCCACCTAAAGAGGGCAACAGGAAGAGAGTGAGAAGGTAATCTTGCCTGCCAGTGTGGTGCTCACCTGGGGAGGCTGGGCTGGAAGGGGATGTCTGCAAGGCCGTGGCTGAGCTGGGCAATGATACGGTCAACTTCTGCATATGGATAGGCTTTGAGGGCAAAACCCTTGTGCTGGGTGCTCTGAAGATGCTAGCCAAGGGTGAGAGAAGGCACAAGGCCATTAGATAAGGCAGGGGTGGGAGACAAGCTGACCTCCCAGCCTGTCTCCGAGTGTTGGAGGACACGGCAGTGCCAGGGTGGAGATGGGGCAGGAAAGGCTCATCTGTGGCGGTCCAGGCTTTCTCAGAACACTTTGGGGAGTAGCTGCTTAGTGGGGAAGTGGCTCACCACATGGAGCTCCTCAAAGGCCTCTTGGCAGCACTCGCAGTACCCCTTCTTCCTCCTGGGCACAGTGTGGGTAGCTGATCGCAGGCTTGGCTCTTGGTCCTTGGGTTCTCTGGGGAGGGCACAGGGTAAGGGAAAGTGGTCACTGCTGGGGCCCTCAGAGGAGGTATTGCTGCTCAGGGCCTGGAACTCAGGCAGGGAGGGGACAGACCAGGAGGGCTAAAGAGCAGGGCAGGCACAGGCAGGCCTGCTTTATCCTGTACCTCCCACCTAAGGGCAGCAGGAGAGGCAAAAAGGAAACTGAGCCTTCCCTGAGGACAGCTTGTCCTGCCTTTGTCCTTTCCACAGCCATGAATCTTAAACCACAGGTAAGAACAGAGTCTTGGAAAAAAAAAAGTTAGCCAAGTGTGGTAGTATGTGACTGTTATCCTAGCTACTCAGGAGGCTAAGGTGGGGAGGATCACTTGAGCTCAGGAGTTTGAGGTTATAGTGAGCTATGATCGTGCCACTGCACTTTAGCCTAGGTGACAGAGTGAGACTCTGTCTCAACAACAACAACCAAATTCAAACACATGCAAACATGCTCAACATTTATACTGAAAACATTGAAATTATAATTATATTGAGATACAGTTTTTACTTTATCAGATTAGCAGAGGTCAAGTCTGACAGTCACCATATTAGGCTAGAGAAACACGCTTTCTCTGTGGGTAAGAGTGTAAATTGGTATTACCTCCATGAAAACCAATTTGGTCGCTTTTATCAAAATTATAAATGAAGGGTAGGCACAGTAGCTCACACCTATAATCCCAGCACTTTGGGGGGCTTAAGTGGGAGAATTGGAGGGGCCAGAAATCAAAAGTCACAAAGATCCTGTCTCTAAACAACAGAACAAAATAAAACAAAAAAAATTATAACTGTAGGTAACCTTCCTTTGACCTAGAATACTCCGTAGCCTGCAAGGGAGTAAGGATGCTCTTTAGTAATGATAGCAAGTTGAGACAAGAAAAAGCAAGATCCAGTACAATGAATACTATATTCTTCTTCTTTTTTATGTTTGAGACAGAGTCTTATTTTGTCACCCTCGGTAGAGTGCTGTTGCGTCATAGCTCACAGCAACCTCCAACTCTCAGGTAATATCTCTGTCACCAAAGGTGGATATATGATTTGTGAGCTTCACTGCAATGAGACAGGAAAGGCTGAGGAGGGTTACCAATCCTGATAAAGTGAACTCTCACTGCCACATCTTTTACATTAGCGGTTCTCAACCTGTGGGTAGCGACCCACAGGAACCGTGGGGCTTGTGGCATTAGGAAGATTGAGAAGCACTGTTTTACATTCTTAAATAAAATTCTTACCAGCCTTTCTAGGTTAAATTAATACTTATGCTCTTCCTGGCTACTTATCAAATACATGGGCAGCACCCGTGGTTCAGTGAGTAGGGTGCCAGACTCATATACTGAGGGTGGTGAGTTCGAACCTGGCTCCAGCCAAACTGCAACAACAGCAGCAACAACAATAACAACAAAATGCATGGGCAGCACCTGTGGCTCAGTGAGTAAGGCACCGGTCCCATATACCGAGGGTGGCAGGTTCAAACCTAGCCCTGGCCAAACTGCAATAAAAAAAATAGCTGGGCATTGTATCAGGAGGCTGAGGCAAGACAATCGCCTAAGCCCAAGAGTTTGAAGTTGTTGTGAGCTGTGATGCCACAGCACTCTACCAAGGGCGACAAACTGAGACTCCGTCTCTAAAAAAGA